GAGCCCAGGAGGTGAAGGTTGTAGTAAGAAAATATCATGCTACTGTACTCCAGCCTGGGTGACAGAGCCAGACCCTGTCTCAAAACAAGACAGAAAAAGTATAGAGATGAAAAGTGAAAAATAAGTCTATAAATTTAATTCCTCCTGCTCTATTTAAAGAGCTCAAACAGCTCAATTTAAAAATTTTAATTCTCCCTGTGTTCCCTTTATCATGTTCCAAAATGATGGGACATTGGAATGTATATAAGTTAAACATATGTAGCTTGACTCATAACAGCCAAAGCATTATCAGAGTCCACAGAACTATTTTATTATTATTATTAAGACTGAGTCTTGCTCTGTTGCTCAGGCTGGAGTGCAGTGGCATAATCTCGGCTTACTACAACCTCGCCTCCCGGGTTTAAGCAATTTTCCTGCCCCAGCCTTCCAAGTAGCTGGGATTACAGGTGTGCGCCACCACACACGGCTAATTTTTGTGTTTTTAGTAGAGACGAGGTTTCAACATGTTATCCAAGCTACTCTCAAACTCCTGACCTCAGGTGATCTGCCCACCTTGGCCTACCAAAACGCTGGGATTACAGGTGTGAGCGATGGTGGCCGGCCTTATTTCATTATTATTATTTTTGAGACAAGGTCTCACTTGGTCCCACAGGTTGGAGTGCAGTGGTACAATCATGGCTCACTGAAGACTCCACCTTCTGGGCTAAAGCAACTCTCCCACCCCAGCCTCTCAAGTAGCTGGGACTACAGGTGTGCACCACCTTGCCTGGCTAATTTTTATTTTTATTTTTGTAGAGACGGGGGTCTCACTATGTTGCCCAGGCTGGTCTCAGACTCCTGGGCTCAAGCAATCCTCCCACCTTGGCCTCCCAAAGTGCTAAGATTACAGGTGTGAGACACCACACTCTGCCCACAGAACAATGTTATTATCAGCAATAACCCCAAAAAAAGCCTTCTAGCTTCCTCTCAGTACCAAGTCTCTTCCCAGCCCCACCCATTCCAGGCCAAAATTATGCAAAAAACTGTTCATAATTATCCCTTCCTGAAAGCCCAGTATTGGGACTTTGGACTTGGTTCAAATCCTGCCCCTACCACTGTTACGGATGTTTTTCAACCTCAACCTCGGGGCCTGAATTTGGTCACACTGAAAAGGGGAGTTGGCTGGGCATGATGGTATGAGCCACCACAGTGTCCACTTCTGCCCACTTCTCTTTTCCAGGGGGTGGGGTGATGTGCCAAGTTGGTTTTTAAAATCTCAAGTTACATAGTATGAAATTCTGGCAGGCTTTGGCTCTGAATGCGTGGAGACTCTCACAACAAAAGCCTTCACTTCTTTTTGGATCTCCACACACATGGTTGACACTAAATGAGGATCTCCTGTGTGGGCAATAGCCACCCACACTTTACAGAGCAGCATAATTCTCTTTTGGGTAGACTCCTGAATAGCCTAAAATTTTCCACGGTCAGATAAAGGTGGTGAAACAAAGGTTGGTCTAATCTAGTACCCTAAGGACTGAAAAAAAAAAAATAGGATTCAAACCAAAAGAAACCAAATTTCATTTTGTTTCTTTCATTTACAAGTTTTAATTAAATATCTCTAATGGTTAGAAAATCAGTGTCAAATACGAACATTGGTATACAGCTTAAAATACAAATGTCAGTAATTATTAAAGAACATGATTAATAACTGTTCCAAGTAAATGCTTGATAATTATTTCCCAGGAGGCAAGTTAAGCATCAGGTGCCTGAGGAGTAAGAGACAGGGCTTCAGTAGGTTCAGACGGCTGCATGGCTGGTCCAATGAGCTTTCCACTCGGTGCCAGGGACAGCTCTCATCACAGGCTTGCCCACTGGCCTTTATCCCCAGCTCCAAGGCAACACCAGGGCTTTTTCTGCCACAAGAGTCACATTTCAGAGACAAATGATCAACTTTAAGATGAAAGTTAGATGGCTCAGTTCCAGAATATTCTGGTTTAACCTGGGAAGTTAAGACTTTCCCAAGGCTGAACATAGGCCACTAGGGGCTGATGGATAAGAGTGAAGTCACAGTCATTCTAAACTCATTTTTATTTTGTTCTATATAATTAATTATACTCTATCTTTAAGTAACTCAAGTTCAAGCTCTTTCTATTTCACTTACGTTTAAAAGGTGCCAATTTGATTGTGTCTAAACTGAACTTTACCCAGTGTGCTGAATACTAAAGACCTTTTAGGCCAAAGGTACCTCTGGGAAAAAGATGTTTATATATTAACATACCTCAAAGTTTACATTTTCATTATAATAAATTAGCCTTAATGTTATGAATAATATCTCAGAAAGTTGAATCTAAGTAATCTGGTCTATCACGCTAATTTGACTTTGTTTTTGTTTTTTTGAGATGGAGTTTTGCTCATGTTGTCCAGGCTGGAGTGCAATGGCACGATCTTGGCTCACTGCAACCTCTACCTCCTGGATTCAAGCGATTCTCCTGCCTCAGCTTCCAAAGTAGCTGGGATTACAGGCATGTGCCGCCACGCCCAGCTAATTTTTGTATTTTTAGTGGAGACGGGGTTTCACCATGTTGATCAGGCTGGTCTTGAACTCCTGACCTCAGGTGATCCACCCACCTTGGCCTCCCAAAGTTCTGAGATTACAGGCGTGAGCCACTGTACCCAGCCAGCTTTTTTTTTTTTTTTTAATTCAAACTTTTTGTTTTGAGACATGGTCTCACCCTGTCACCCAGTCTGGAGTGCAGTAGCACAATCACAGCTCACTCCAGCCTAGACCTCCTAGGCTCAAGAGATCCTCCCATTTCACCCTCCCAAGTAGCTGAGACTACAGGCCATGCACCACACCTGGCTATTTTTTAAAAAAATTTTTTGTAGTGGCAATGTCTATGTTGCCCAGGCTGGTCTCATGCTGTGCTGAAGCGATTCTTCTGTCTTGGACTCCCAAAGTGCTGGGATTACAGATGTAGGCCACGGTGCCTAGCCACGAATTTGAAATTAGAATACTATGTTATCTATCCATTTTGATCAAGCCCCAGAATCAACAGAGCTATATTTATATATTTTTTAAAAATCTCGCCAGGCTTGATGGCTCATGCGTATAATGGTAGCACTTTGGGAAGCTGAGGTCGCCTGGCCAACATGGCAAAACCCTATCTCTACTAAAAATACAAAAACTTAGCTATGCGTGGTGGTGCACGCCTATAATCCCAGCTACTTGGGTGGCAGATGCACGAGAATCACTTCAACCCGGGAGGCAGAAGTTGCAGTGAGCTGAGATTGTGCCACTCTAGTCCAGCCTGGGCAACTGAGTGAGACTGTCTCAAAAAAAGAAAAAAAGGGAGTAAATCTAAATTATGTCAATATTATCAAAGTTTCTTACCTAAAATCATATACAATTTTAAGCACCAAAGCAGACTTTCTTCAAAAGTTACATCTAAGATATTAAATGTTCAATCTCATTTTTCAGTTCATTTTAAGTCTCAATACTGAAGTCTCTATAAAAGGAATAATAAATGCTTAAAAAGACCTGACAAGTACTACTAACCTCCTCTCAAATCCCAATGTCCCTGAAGCAGTAGCCCATGTGCTTCAAGAAGTTCAATGACAGCAGGATAGTGGTCAGGGAGACAGAAGTTTAACCAGGAGGCGCACCCCAGAATGTTCATGGAAAGAGCTGATGATTCACAGTGGATAAAAAACAAATGATAAATAAGCCTTTCTTCTTTCTCAATATTACTAACTAGGAAGCAGGAAAATCTATTAGGCAGAGAAAAACCAGATACGCCTGGAGTCACAGGTAAGGAGTCTGTGTTCTCTCAGCTGTCTCACAAGTTAATAAATCAGATACATTTATGACCCATGCTAGGCTCCAAAGTAGGATTCAGGTACTTTGGAAGCCAGTAAAGGCTTCAAGTGTACTCCAGGGTTTAGCTGGTATAAAGAATAAAGGACAAAAAAAAATGTCAGACAACCAGCCTGGGCAACATAGCAAGACCATGTTTCTACAAAAAAATATATATATATTTTAAAATTATCTGGGCATGGTGGTTCATGCTTGTAGACCCAGCTGCTTGGCAGGCTAAGGTGGGAGGGAGCATTGGAGCCCAGGAGTTTGACATTACGTGAGTTATAATCATACCACTGCACTCCAGCCTGGGTGACAAAGCAAGACCTTGTCTCAAAAAACAACGAAAAGTAAATGTCAGATAGACTCCTCAGTTTTAGCAACAAACCCTCATGCTAGCAAAATGGAAGTGATTTACATTTTATTTTTGATTTGAGATCTAGGAGATAGGCTGGGTGTGGTGGGTCATGCCTATAATCTCACCACTTGGAAAGACAAAGGTGGGCAGATCACTTGAGTCTAGGAGTTCAAGACCAGCCTGGGTGACATGGCAAAACCCTGTCTCTACAAAAAGTAAAAAAATAAATTAGCGAGGCATGGTGTTGCACGCCTGTAATCCCAGCTACTTTGTGGGGTGGCGTGGGGTGGGGGGGATGCGGCACTGAGGCAGGGTTGTTTGAGCCTGGGATGCAGAGGTTGCAGTGAGCCAAGATCATGCCATTGTACTCCAGCCTGGGCAACAGGGCAAGACCCTGTCTCAAAAGAAAAGAAAAGAAAAAAGATCTAGGTGATAAGAAGGAATATTAATGGTTTCAGAATAAAAGGATCAAGCCTTAAATATTCAAAAAATAAAAGGATCAAGGCTTAAATATTCAAAAAAGAATGTCTTAGATGAAACTACATGACTAAATAGTTGCACTGAAAAATGTACAGAGAAACACCACCAAATTAGAAGTATCCCAATATTTGACTGAATGTCATCTGGGACACAGACAAAAAAACAGAAAACCAAACGTAGCTATTTGCTTTTCTTTTCAGTAGATGGCATAAAGGGGTAAGATGAGAAAAGGGATCAACAAATGTAGCTCAACTTCATTGAAGAATTCTGCCTGATGTAGCACAGGCAAATAAAATTGTTGGTTTTGTGGGATTATAGTTGTTTCCATTTAGGGACACATTTCCTGTTGTTTAAATGCCACAGCAATTCATGAGATGAAATTCATCTCCACAACGGAGCCACTTGACTGAATTTCCAAGTAAATACAAAGAATCTGCAGCCCACAGAAGCCATTACAAGTTAAACTTTTATTTTTGCCCCAACTCCTATACTAAATATGGTCTAATTCCTGAGGAGTGGCAATGGTGGTTTATCCCACAGTATTGGGGCAAGCATCCCATTTGGTAAGTCTCACTCCTTCCTCCTCCCCATCACCTCTCAGTAAAGGATTCAGAGAACCTTGGTTAGAAACTTTTCCTTAAGCCTTTTGTGTTTTCACCTCTCCAGATAGAGGTTGAATCTTCAGTCCACAATCCACTAAATAAACCTATCCTGTCTAAACGTCTATCACCACAAGTACCATATGCAATCACATTTTCTCCTTTCCTGCAGCCACATGAAGCAGGAACATATGAAAGATTCTTTCACACAGTATTTTGTTGTTGGGAGGTGCAGGGTAAGTGAGGGGTTCAGCATAGCAGAGGTAGAAGGATTGTGTGGAATTGACAGAAGAATGTTTGAGAGGTATAATCAGAAAGCTTAAATGCTGTGAACCAACCCCCGAAGGCTCAGCCCAGGAGGAAATTTTACCAACACAGGAAAGGTTAGGGTTTAAGGCATAGACAAGTTACCTCCCAGTATGGCTCAAAGTTTCTAGAATGGGACTCAGTAGAGGGGACCAAAAGCTGCACCAGTAGGTTCAGCTGGTCCAGAGGCATAGATCCTATCAGCTGAAACCAAAACAAGTCATTCCAAGCATGCTTACAGTAGGCGTGTTTACAAGTTTAAGGATTCAATTTTAAAATAAATGAAAACAGAACTAGAATGTAGTATTACAAAATTTCTTACATGTATAATCACACACAAAAAGTTAGGATATTGCATAGAAAAGTGTACTGTAGTATGCTTTGTAAACCTAGGCCTTAGTAATTTAAATAAAAGACAAACAAATAAAATATCTCTTCATAGTCTAGAAGTCCATGATTGTGAATTCAGGAGAATTATCAAATCTGCAGATTTTGTGGCAAGACCTCAGAAGATCCTGAATTTCTTTATTCTCATAATCATGATTAAATTTACCCTTTGAAGGCTCAGGCTGACACAGTTTAACATCTTCATCAAAAGACTTGGGCTACATGAGCCCAAGCCAATTCCATAGACTTTATGCTCTGTCCTCTCTGCATATAAGACTTGATCAAAACATACAGGGACATGAAATTGCTTCTATTTCACTGTTTTTTTAAAGCTAGGCTGTTTGTTTTTTTCCTCCTGTTAGTCTATTTAGCAAATTAAATCTGCCTACAATTTTAATAGTAAAGTTTGGATAGCTAGTTCAAGAGTAAGTGAAAACATTTTAGAAGAGCATTTATGTTAACCTTGACAATAGGACGGGAGATTCTTAACCCCCCTTGTAATATGCACCAATTGATTCTGAGTTAAAGTATACCACAGTGACAGTGATATCATCCCTGTACATCCTTGCCAAGTCCTCTGGCAATGTCAGCATTGCCGCCAGCCGCTCTGGCTCCATCTCCCCATACTCATTGCTCCCGATGGCATGTCTGATCAGCCGCGTGGCTGCATTTTGGTCAGCCTCGTGGAGCCCACTGGCTTTCCTCTGCAGCAGCAGGCTCTGCATGAGCCTCAAGTTGGCAGGTCTCTGGGCCAGGTCTGTCTTGTGCCAATCTGCCTCAGCCAGGTGCCCCACCACCAGCCTCACCACGTCCTCATTGCTCAGCATGTCCCACAGGCCATCTGACGCCAGCACAAGGAACTTATCCTGGGGCCTCAGCCTGTGGTATGTGACCTCAGGCTCAGCAGTAAGGTAGGGTGGAGTATAGTAGTGTGAGGGCGTGAACTGGTAAATGTTGAGGGCCTCGGTGTTAAAGCCCCTTTCCAGAACGCTGCGCTGCAGCTCTTTACTCCACTTCAGCTGGACATCCCCAAAGGCCCTGCAGGGCATGAGGACACCCAGCAGCCTGTCCTCCATGATGATCGTCCTGTCCTCTGATTCAGGGTGCTCCCTCTTTAGCCGGGACAGCTCAGCCTGGTTCCAGGCATTGTGGTCACGGGTAAGGGGCAGACAAGACCACATGCCATTGTCCTCCTGGACACCAAGGATGGCTCGGCAGTCACCAGCATTTGCCACGTGCAAGTGAATTCCATCAACATGAGCCATGCAAGCTGTTGCCCCAGAGAAAGCAACCTGGAGTGACAGGTTCCTTGTCACCTCATCTTCCAGGGGGGCCTGGATTTCCAGTGAGATGTCAGAATCCAATCTCTGGAAGGAGTACATTAATGCTTCCTCAATGCTTAGTCCCATTTCCATGTGCAAGTCAAGCAATTCCTGCCAATAGACACGGAGGTGGTCAAGATGCACGGATGTGACATCCTTGTAGATACTGTCCCCTGGGTGTTTGAGCCAATGCAGGATGGGCAGCAAGGGCTTCATGCTTTCCACAGCTCCCTCCATGTGCTCCAGGGTCTGGTGGGACATCAGGGACACTGCCACATAGTAGAAGAGCCTCTCGCTCACTGCCTGGGCACATGCATGACCGCCATGTCCATCAAAGATGCCAAACATCAGTCCACTGGTTTGCAGGCAGGAGGCTACACCTCGCCGGTCCTCCACTGGGGAATTTGCAGCCAGCTGGTTGCTCTCAAACTGCAACACTGAATTTGGAACTCTGCTTTCAAGGTCAAGAATCTTGTGGGCTGACTCACCAGCTCGAAGCACTTCATTTATTTGCTCAGGGCTGAGTTGCAAGTGAAAATCATCTTCCTCTGTTGATGTGTGTCTGTAGACTTTGCAGAGAGTGAAGCCACCACATGGGGAACTGTTTAGGGTGGGTGGCACCCGGGAAAAGAGCCTCCATTTAAATTTATTCCTATTTGAGATGCACCTGGAGTATAAGCGTCTGCCCCTTTGCAATGTGGCAATGCTGTTCCTTGTAGAATTTAAGATCCAGTAGGACACAGTACTTGACATTCTGACACTATACCAGCAATTGTGTTCCCTCAGCAAAAAAGGATATTTTTAAACCTAAAAATTAAAAAGTTGAAGTTTCAAATTTAATTTCTTAAAAATACTGACCTCTGAAAACATTTAATTTGCTCATATCCTGAACAAAAATAACTTAGAATAAACTATTTAAAATACACTAAACTCATTCTCACCAGCAGACTATAAGTGTTCATTGAAAATATCTGCTTCAGGAGCCAGGCGTGGTAGCACATGCCTGTAATCCTAGCACTTTGGGAGGCCAAGATGGGTGGATAGCTTGAGCCCAGGAGTTCAAGACTAGCCTGGGCAACGTGGTGAAACCCTGTCTTTCCAAAAAAAATTTGCCAGGTATGGTGGTATGCACCTGCAGTCACAGCCACTTGGGAGGCTGAGGTGGGAGAATCACCTGAGCTTAGGAAGTTGAGGCTGCAGAAAGCAGTAATCGTGCCACTGCAGTCTAGCCTGGATGATGAGAGTGAGACCCTGTCTCAAAAAAAAAAATTAAAACAAAAATAAATAAATAAATAATCTGCTTCAGGAATAGTGGCTTATACCTGTAATCTCAGCCACTCAGAAGGCTGAGGTGAGAGGATTGCTTGAGCCCTGGAGGTCAAGGCTCAAGGCTGCAGTGAGCAGTGTTCCCGCCACTGCACTCCAGCCTGGGTGACAGATCAAGACCCTGTCCCAAAAAATTAATCATATATATATATATATATATATATATATGCTTCCCCACTAGTCTATAAACTCTGTGACTCATGCAACCACAGCTGCCTTACTCACCAACAGCTTTCCAGTGCCTAGCCCTGTATCTGGCAAAAACTAAGTACTCAAATACCAGCTAAATATGACATTTTCAGAGGCCCAACAGCACACTAGCTGTGATGCTATCCTGTGTAGCATCAGACACACTGCTGATGAGGTAACACTCACTCCAGTTATCTATTGGCAGAATGGGAATATTAGTGTTAGGTTTTGTGAGAATTTAATAAAATATGACCCTTCTGCTAAAAAAAAGGGAGTTATTATTTTCATCATTAGGTACATACCCCTCTAGTCATTCTGTCCTCCCCCTTTTTGGGCTGGAGTGCAGTGATGTGATCTCGGCTCACTGCAACCTCCACCTCCCAGATGCAAGTGATTCTCCTGCCTCAACCTCCCAAGTAGCTGGGACCACAGGTGTGCACCACCATGCCTGGCTAATTTTTATACATTTTGTAGAGATCGGGTTTTGCCCTGTTACCCAGGCTGGTCTTGAACTCCTAGACTCAAGCAATCCATCCACCTCAGCCTCCCAAAGTGCTGGGATTACAGGTGGGACTTACCATGCCCGGACATTCTGTACATATTTCTGTAGAGTTGTAACCACAACTTTGAATCTGGCTTTTCTGATAAGAGTATTTTTTCATATCTAATGGCTACATTTTGGCATAAACAATCACAATTTACTTAACCATTCTCTACTGCTGAAGATTTAGAGGTTGTTTCTACTACTTGCTTACTATTTATTTATTTTATTTTTATTTTTATTTGAGATGGAGTCTCGCTCTTGTTGCCCAGGCTGGGGTGCACTGGCACAATCTCAGCTCACTGCAACCTCCGCCTCCCAGGTCCAAGCGATTCTCCTGCCTCAGCCTCCCAAGCAGCTGAGGCTACAGGCACTTGCCACCATGCCCAGCTAATTTTTTGTATTTTTAGTAGAGACAGGGTTTCACCATGTTAGCCAGGATGGTCTTGATCTCCTCACCTGGTGATCCACTTGCCTCAGCCTCCCAAAGTGCTGGGATTACAGGCATGAGCCACTGTACCTGGCCTACTTGCTATTTATTAATATAAAATATCAAACTGGACTGGGCACAGTGTGGCTCATGCCTATAATCTCAGCATTTTGAGAGGCCAAGGCTAGAGTATCCCTTGAGGTTAGGGAGTTTGAGACCACCCTGAGTGATACAGCAAGTGCCCCCGTCTCTACCAAAATTTTTACATTAGCTGGGAATGGTAGCACATGCCTGTAGTCCCAGGTACTCAAGAGGCTGAAGTGGGAGGATTGCTTGAGCTCTCTGAGTTCAAGGCTGCAGTGAGCTATGATCACACCACCGCACTGCAGCCTGGGCAATTGAGCCAGATCTGTCTCTTAAAAAAAAAACAACAACAACGAAACCCCACCAAACTGCACTGCCTTATGCAGTAAACTTTTCTCTACTTAGGTTTTATCCTAGTGATTTCCCAAACAAGGAGTCAGTAGGTCAAAGTGTGGAGACTCATTGCCAAACTGATTTCCAAAAGCTTCACATCTGCCTCCGCAAGGGGGTGATGAGTTTCCTAGTCCCTTCACTAGCCTCTGGTGGTATTTTTCCTTAGAATAAAATAAAATAAGAAAAAAAAAAAAATCTTGACACATTATAATGAGCTTTTCTCAGGTTTCATGTATGAATCCTGCCCTCGGCATCTCGAGATCATTTATCAGGATCTTGAGAGCTCCCAGCACTGAGAACCGTTCCCTCACCCCCCGCCCCCCGCCCCCCGCATAAATCGGGACGGGGGCCGTCGGTCCGGGAGCAGAGGGCGCCTGACGCTCCAGCCCTACAGCCAAGACAGGCAGCGGTGCAGGGTGATCCGCCCCAGCTGGGACGCAAACCATTTTGCATCCTTAAAGACAACAGACAGGTCCCAAGTTCAAGTCTCTGACTACAGCCTCATCGCTAAGTGCACGGAGCCCACCAAGCCCTATCTCCCTAGAACTCCGGCACGGCCATACCCCAGCTAGGTGTCCCCGAGCAACCAGCTTGGTGCCTCTTAGCTCCGGCTTGCCAGTCTGTAAAACAGGGGCGCGCAGTGGGGACACGGAGCTCTAAGGGGTGCTCGAAGGGCCAGAGCAGCTAGTGGGGTGCCCCAATAGGTAGCAAAGGGTCGTCGGCGAGCCCGCAGGCCCACGTGGGGCGCGCATGTGAGTGGGGTGACCGTGGTCGTGGGCCCAGCTGGTCCCTTCGGCCGCGGGTCCGCCCCCTCACCTCAGCTCTCCGCCCAGTCACCTGAGCCGGTGCCGCAGGCCGGGAGGGTCAGGCGCTGGCGAGGCCTGGCGCGTAAACAGGTGTCCACATCCCCCACTCGTTCCCTTCCCTACCTCGGACCCTCGCCCGCTTCTCAACAGCTTGCGAGGCCACAGTCGCCCGCTCGATCCGGTCAGTTCTGCGCCTGCGCACAGCTCCGCAGCTGCAGCCACCGAGTCCGCACTTCATCCAGGCTGCAGCTCCTGGTAAAGACCCAGCTCCAGAAGGAAGCACCCTCCCGCCAGCCCTGGTTGGCTCAATTGCGGAGGCGGGCCCTTGATGGACAGAGACATTGCCCAATGACCAAAGAGGACGAGAGGCTGGCAGAAAGGCGCGACCCGTGAGGGGCCAACACCGCCCCTTACTCGGGCCCGGGTGCTGAAGGTATTAGACCGCGGGGCTACCGGGCCAGGCAATCACGTGACTGAGGTCGCCAGCTACGCGGCTGCCACACTCTGCACACCCCGAACCCAGCGGCCTCTCCAGTTCTTCACCGTTGTTAGAACACCCTGCTGCTTCCTCTTCATTTTGGTATCAACTGCTTCAGAAGCCTCTCCTAAGAACCCCACCCTGGTTTCCACCCATCCATCCAATGACACAGCCACCCTAGACCAAGCATCTCACCTGGTTTTCCGGTTTTCCCTCCTCCACCTTTGACTTGGTCCTAACCACAGAGCAGAGCAGCCAGAATGACGCCCCTCCCCCTTTTTTGGTGGTGGTGGGGGTAGAGACAAGGTCTTTCTATGTTGCCCAGGCTGGTCTCAAACTGCTGGGCTCAAGCAATCCTCCCACCTCAGCCTCCCCAAAGTACTGGGATTACAGACGTGAGTCATCAAGCCAGGCAGAATGATTCTTTTAAATCTCAAATTCCAAGGTCGGGCGTGGTGGCTCCAGCCTGTAATCCCATCACTTTGGGAGGCCGACGCGGGCGGATCACCTGAGGTCAGGAATTCGAGACCAGCCTAGTCAATATGGCGAAACCCTGTAACTATTAAAAATACAAAAATTAGCTGGGAGTGGTGGCGTGGGCCTGTAGTCCCAGCTACTCGGGAGGCTGAGGCAAGAGAATCATTTGAACCCAGGAGGCAGAGGTTTCAGTGAGCCGAGATTGCACCACTGCACTCCAGCCTGGGCAACAGAGCGACAGTCCATCTCAAAAACAAGAACAAATCCAAAAACCCCTCAAAGTCCTGCCCTAAAGTCTTCAGTGGTTTCCCATAAACCATTAAGCTTTGAACTGACCATTATATTGTCCTGCTACTGACAATTAACGCAGCATGGTTGGCAGCTGGTAGGTTGAGAGAAGCACAGAACTGGGACACCAGATAATATCCCTCAGTCCCTTCTGGTCCTAACACTGGGGCATTTCAGTGATCATCTGCTTCCTTATAAATTATTTTAACAGAACTCTTGTAACTACAGTAAGTCAAATGGAGTCATTCCCTGGAGACAGAAAAATGGGAGACAACCAGAAAAAAGCCACTTGGCACCCTGAGAATGTGGTCTTCCAGAAGGAAGACACACTGGCTTACCTGGGGAGCCTGGCCAGCCTCCTGGACCCAAGGACGTGATCACAATAAAACTGCTCCTGTCAGACTTGCCCTCATATATTTATAGTTCCACTAACCCTTAGCCCTTTCCGGAAGTTCAAAGTCAGGATTTGCGATATCTCTCTTCCTGCATATTAAGAAGACTGTTTCAGACCCAAACTAAAAATAGGTCTAGAGATTCTAATAAATGGGCGCAAGAGCCAGGCGCAGTGGCTCACACCTGTAATCCTAGCACTTTGGGAGCCCGAGGCAGGTGGATCATGAAGTCAGGAGTTCGAGACTAGGCTGATCAACATGGTGAAACCCCATCTCTACTAAAAATACAAAAATTAGCTGGGCGTGATGGTGTGTGCCTGTAATCCCAGCTACTCAGGAGGCTGAGGCAGGAGAATTGCTTGAACCCGGGAGGCGGAGGTTGCAATGAGCGGAGATCATGCCACTGCACTCCAGCCTGGATGACAGAGCAAGACTGTCTCAAAAAAAAAAAAAAAAAAAATGGGTGCAATAGAATGCAAAAGCACACTTCCTCTCCACCCCCAAATATAGGTCATGTAGGGTCACAATGGGTTACCCTTCAGGACACAGGCAGCAGTATTTAATTATTCAATCTGCAGGCATTTATGGGTGCCCACAATGTGTCAGGCCCTGGGCTGACTGCTGAGGCACACAGATGGCTGTCCCCACCACTCTCCTGAGAAAAATTAGATCATTCCACCAAGTCTGAAACCACTGAGTTTTTCTAAGTTATCACACACACCCACTTCCAAAGTAAAAATGCACTCTGGAGGATCATGTGTGCACTGGAACTTTCATTTCAAGGCCATAACCAGTTCAGTCACCCTATATAGGATGGCCAGCCCAAGTCCCTCACCGGATCTCTCAAAGCTTCCTTGTCCCAAGGTCTTATAAGCAAATATGAAGGAAAAGGATTACTTATCTTTCCTTCCAGAAAGGGAAAGCATAGTTCGATTGGCTTTTTCCTTTTCCTTTTTTTTTTCTTGAGATGGAGTCTCACTCTGTCACCCCGGCTGGAGTGCAATGCTGTGATCTCAGTTCACTGCAACCTCTGCCTCCCAGGTGCAAGCAATTCTTCCACCTCAGCCTCCCAAGTAGCTGGGACTACAGGTATGTACCACCCACACCCGGCTAATTTTTGTATTTTTAGTAGAGATGGGGTTTCACTATGTTGTCCAGGCTGGTCTTGAACTCCTGACTTTGTGATCTGCCCGCCTTGGCCTCCCAAAGTGCTGGGATTACAGGTGTGAGCCACCGCACTCAGTGGTTTGATTGGCATTTTTAGATAAAATATGCAAAAATATTCAGCCTCACTCAAGACCAAAGAAATGGCCAGGCACCTGCCTCAAAATAATAAAGAAAAAAGAAAACCAAAGAAATGCTAATTAAATGAATCACTGATTGTTGTCAGTCAACCTGGTAAATATTAAAACATGGTTTAAATACATAACGTTAGTCTGGGCATGGTGGCTCACGCCTGTAATCCAAGCACTTTGGCGGCCAAGGCGGGCGGACCACCTGAGGTCGGCAGTTCAAGACCATCCTGACCAACATGGTGAAACCCCATCTTTAAAAAAAAAAAAATTTTTTTTTCAAAGAAAATAAATACATAGTGTTGGCAAGAGAGCATTGCCATCTTAGCAGGGAGTGTGATATGGTTTGACTCTTTGTGCTCACCCAAATCTCATCTCAAATTGTAATTCCCACATGTCAAGGGAGGGATCTGGTGGGAGGTGACTGGATCATGGGGGCGGTTTCCCCCATGCTGTTCTCATGATAGTGAGTGAATTCTCATGAGATCTGATTGTTTATAAGGGGCAGTTTTCCTCTGTGCTCCTGCTTGCCTGCTGCCAGGTAATAAGTGTTTTACTTCCCTTTGTCTTCTGCCATGATTGTAAGTTTCCTGAGGCCTCCCCAGCCATGTGGAACTCTGAGTCAATTAAACCTCTTCCCTTTACAATTATGCAGTCTCAGGAATTCTTTAGAGCAGTGTAAAAACAGATTAATAGAGTGCACATGGAAGCTACCCAATGGGCATACCTTTGATCCACTAATTCTACCTCTTTCAATTTATCCTAAAGAGACAAAGGTCAGCATTACAAAGTTTCTACAGTAAGTATACATTATTCAATCTAGCATAACTTGCATCATGAGGGGGGAAAAAAGCAAAACTATTTGTAAAACAGCCAGGTGCATGAGAATCGCTTGAACCCAGGAGGCAGAGGTTGCAGTGAGCCGAGATCACACCACTGCACTCCAGCCTGGATGACAGAGCAAGACTCTGTCTCAAAAACAAAACCACAAGAACAAGTATGAGGAAGAGATCAATAAGCCTACAGAGATGGAGAATGAATTTGTCCTCATCAAGAAGGATGTGGATGAAGCTTACATGAACAAGGTAGAGCTGGAGTCTCGCCTGGAAGGACTGACTGACGAGATCAACTTCCTCAGGCAGCTGTATGAAGAGGAGATCCGGGAGCTGCAGTCCCAGATCTCTGACACCTCTGTGGTGCTGTCCATGGACAACAGCCGCTCCTTGGACATGGACAGCATCATCGCTGAGGTCAAGGCGCAGTACGAGGAGATCGCCAACCGCAGCCAGGCTGAGGCGGAGAGCATATACCAGATCAAGTATGAGGAGCTGCAGAAGCTGGCTGGGAAGCACGGGGATGACCTGCGGCGTACGAAGACTGAGATCTCCGAGATGAACCGGAACATCAGCCGGCTCCAGGCCGAGATTGAGGGCCTCAAAGGCCAGAGGGCTTCCCTGGAGGCCGCCATTATAGATGCTGAGCATCGCGGGGAGCAGGCACTCAAGGATGCTCGTGCCAAGCAGCAGCAGCTGGAGGAAGCCCTGCAGAAGGCCAAGCAGGACATGGCACGGCAGCTGCGTGACTACCAGGAGCTGATGAACGTCAAACTGGCCCTGGACATCGAGATCGCCACCTACCGCAAGCTACTGGAGGGCAAGGAGAGCCGGCTGGAGTCTGGGATGCAGAACATGAGTATCCACACGAAGACCACCAGCGGCTATGCAGGTGGTCTGAGCTCTGCCTATGGGGGCCTCACAAGCCCCGGCCTCAGCTACGGCCTGGGCTCCAGCTTTGGCTCTGGCGCGGGCTCCACCCTCAGCCGCACCAGCTCCACCAAGGCCGTGGTTGTGAAGAAGATTGAGACCCGCGATGGGAGGCTGGTGTCTGAGTCCTCTGACGTCCTGCCCAAGTGAACAGCTACAACAGCCCCTCCCAGCCTGCCCCTCCTGAGGCTGCCCCAGAGCCTGGGAGGGAGGTTGCTGTACAGGGGAACACAGGGAATGGGAAACCCATCCGACGCTCAGCCCTAGCCCTCAGCCCACCTGCGGGGAGTTTACTGCCTGGGGACCCCCCTTGCCCATGCCCCCCGCTGCAAAAAAATTCAATTTTTTTTTTTTTTTTTTTTTTTTTTTTTTTTTGTCCAAAATAAAATCTCAGCTAGCTCTAAAAAAAAAAAAAAAAAACCAGCCAGGTGAGAGACTGGAGTAGAGAAATGGATCTCTTGGATAATTCCAAAAAAGTCCCCTAATTCCTCATTCTTCACCGATGCAGGTAAGACTTCTTTTTTTTTCCTTTTCCTTTTTTTTGGAGACAGGGTCTTGCTCTGTCACCCAGGCTGGAGTGCAATGGTACAATCACAGCTCACTGCAGCTTCAACCACCCAGATTCAAGTGATCCTCCCACCTCAAGACTCCCAAGTAACTGGGACTACAGGCAAACATCACCACACCTGGCTGATTTTTGTATTTTTTGTAGAGAGTGTCCCACTATGTTGCCCAGGTTGGTCTTGAACTCCTGAGCTCAAGTAATCGCCCACCTTGGGCTCCCAAAGTGCTGGGCTTACAGGCATAAGCCACTGTGCCTAGCTACAGACAAGACTTCTATGGAATGTTAGGAAAGCTGGATTTGAGGATGATCTTGTGTCAGGAGAACCTGAAATGGTGACAGCCAGTTTCTGTCTCACTGTCAAAGCTGTAGCTTCTGGTCAAGCATGGTGGCTCATGCCTATAATCTCAGCACTTTGGAAAGCCAAGGTGGGCAGATCACTTGAGGCCAAGAGTTTGAGACCAGCCTCGCCAACATGGTGAAACCCCATTTCTACAAAAATACAAATATTAGCTGAGTGTGGTGATACATGCCTATAGTCCCAGCTACTAAGGAGGCTAAGGCACAAGAATCAATTGAACCCAGGAAGTGGAGACTGCAGTGAGCCAAGATTGTGCCACTGCACTCCAGCCTGGGCAACAGAGCAAAACTCTGTCGCTGATATCTGGGATAATTTGTAAAAATCTCAAGTGTCTTTGTTCTTTGCCAGTTAGCAGGAAAAGCTTGTCCTTGCAGTACTTCTGTGGCATTCTCACTCCCCAGAGCATCTGAATAAAGCCAGAAGAGCCTTCTTATTGATCTGAGTATATTTTTCCCCTGAGAAAATTCTCTCAGAGACCTGTGCCATCCCAAATCAAGTGATTTAACTTCACCATCTTTTAGCCAACCAGGTGACTTTTCTTGGCACTGTCTCCTCCCAAATTAACCACACATGTGGGCCCACACAAACAACCTCCAGAGCCCCCTTTCCTTCAGAGGGAATGGCCACCCCTCCCTATGGGGCAGCTAGCTCAGGGACGGTTTAGCAAGTCTTGAGGCCGTGCCAGTGAAAAAGCCTTGAGAAATTTTGAAAAATACAGGTTCTTCTTCAGCCCTTTATGCAAATCTCCTCTGAAGTAACAGCACCAATAGGCTTACTAGGTTGTCAGGAAGCCTTAAAATTGTTGTTTTAAGCTCCTTAAGCTAAAGCCAATGCTAAAGCTTGCTCCCCTGTAGAGGAGGATGGGTAGACCCTCTGGAGGAAATATGACCTGTGTTTTTCAGTCTCTTTTCCAAACAAGGATAATTCCTTTCACTCACCAGAAAGAGCAGCTGCACCCAAGATTGCAGTGATCTGTGCCCTAGGGGCAAAACAATCACTCTTTGCCACCACCAACCCACACTCATCCCCAATCAGGCCCTATTCAGGGGTAGGCTCATAATTTTCCATCGCCTTGGTTGAGGTGGTGGCTCATGCCTGTAGTCACAGTGCTTTGGGAGGCCAAGGAGGGTGTATCCCTTGAGGCCAAGAATTTGAGACCAGCCTGGGCAACAGAGACAGACCAACAAATGAAGAAGGAGAAGGAGAAGGAGAAGGGGAAGAAGAAGGTGGAGGAGGAGGAGGAGGAGGAAGAGGGAACAAGAAGTGGAAGAAGAAGAAGGAGGGGGGAGGAAGAGGAGAGGGGAAGGAAGGGGGGGAGGAGGAGGGAGGAAGAGAGGGGGGAGGAGGAGACGGGGAGGAGGAGGAAGAGGAGGAGGAGGAGGAGGACGAGGAGAAGGAGAAGAAGAAGAAGGAGAGTGAATTTTCCATCACCCTGTGGGTCTCAGGAGTGAGGCCCAGCTCTGCCACCTATTTGCTGTGTGATCTTAGGGGCCAGTCACTTCCTCTCTCCAAGCCTCAGTAAAACTACATGGAAGGGCATTTGCGTGGGTTTTGTGGTTGTCGTTTGCACTCCAATTTGCAAATGACTCACATCCTTTCAAGAAAGGTAGTTTGGAGAGTAGAACGGTCTAGAAGTCTGGTGTGTGTGGACCAAGAAGGAGCAGCTGAGAGAGGAGCCTCAGAGGCTCAAGCAGCGCGCACTTGCGGCCGAGGTTTCAGGGGACACGGCCAGCAGGGGGTGCTGCCCAGAGACCTCGCGCTCCGAAGGCGCGCGCCGTGGGAGACCGCAGTCGGCTACGTCAGCAGGCAATGGCCTTGAAGCGTCGGTCTGAGCTACCCAGGGAGACTGTGAATCTCCAACAGGAAACCGCGAGTGCCTAGCAGCCCCTCCCCACCTTTCCTGAGGAAGCCTGGTCCGAGCGAGCCGGTGAGCAACTCTATGCAAAGCGTGCGAGCACCGGGGACTGCGCACAAGGGTGAGTGCAGGGTGTCAGCCCCCAGGTGGGGGCTGCAGGGACCCCACCTCCTTTTGAGCAGGCGCGCGGTTGGAATTGGCCAGGACAGAACATCAAGTGGAAAAACACGATTACAACAGAGGAGAGAAGGCGTTTCGATAATAACAACAATGATTTATTTCTGTATTTCTTCTCTTTCCCCTTCTCCGCCGCATGTGCACGCCTGTTTATATGCAGAGAAAAGTTTAGTAGGACACATAAGCCAGCAGTTACCAATGCTTATCAATGTGTCATAAAACTGTAGGTCTATTTATTTATTTATTTTTTATGAGACAGTCTCAGCTCAGGCTGGAGTGCAGTGGCGCAATCATTGCTCACTGCACTTGAGCTCCTAGGCTCAATAGATCCTCCTGCCTCAGCTTCCCAAGTAACTGGGACTACAGGTACACGCCACCACAGCCCAGCTGGATCTCACATTCTTTATTTTTCCATTTATTTCATTATTTACTTTTCTTGTATTTTATATTTTATTATTTTTATTTTCTTTTTTTCTGAAGTGAGAACAAAACTCTTCTTATATTTTTAAATTATTTTTTTTTTACTAACTTATTTATTTATTTAATAGAGACATGGTCTTGCTATGTTACCAGGGCTGGTTTTGAACTCCTGGGCTCAATCCCAGGAACTCCTGGGATTACAAGCGTGAGCCACTACTCCGGTACTACTAATTTATTTTTTTTTAAATAGAGACAGAGTCTTACTCTGTTGCCTGGAGTTGGTCTCAAACTCCTGGACTCAAGCAATCCTCTGGCCTCAGACTCTGAAAGTGCTGGGATCACAGGCGTGAGCCACCGCATCTGGCCTGCTTTTCTTATTTTTAAGAACATATATTTAACAATCAGGAACAATTCAATAAAGTCTGCATTACACACTTACACATAGGAGTGGGAGGGAAGACACAGCACAGCCCGCTTTCTGGGGCAAAGCAGGGAGCAGGGCAGAGGTCAGAGCGCAGCTGTACCCACCCTGCAGAGAGGATTGGAGGCGCCACCCTTGTAGATGGAAAATCAGGGAAGGCTTTCGAGAGGAATATCTGAAGGAAGTTAGGGAGTGAATCCTCATGGAATCTGAGAGAGAACATTGTATTCCATGGAGAGAAAACAGCAGGGGCAAAGGTCCTGGCCTTGTGGGTGAAAAGAAGGGCTTGGGTTTTAAGGCCAGGGCTGCCTGCCCTGTCTCCAACCCTTGGGCCAGGGCTAGAAAGTTCTTGAGAGGGCATCTCCCTCCTGCTTTCCTAAAGCGTGCTCCCTGGAACACGATCCCACAAAATGTTCTGAGAGAAAAGAACCACAGCCTGTTGAAGAATATTCAGGAGACCGGAGAGACCAATGGGTGAAACAGGAGGATTTTATTGAGGTGCACCGGCTCAGTGGATTCGCATCTGAAAACTGAGCAAAGAACAAAGAAAATGGGATACTTTTTATACATTCAGGATGATGTAGCAGCTAACAGGTTTACAGAAGCCAGAATGAAGAACAATATGTCTTGTGATATATGTTACATTTGAAAAATAAGCATTTTGAGAAACACATTGTACATTCTTTGGGTGTTATCTTGCCCGGTGCCTTGTAGCTGGTCAGCAAGAAAAACAGAACTTTTGAGGTGCCTGGGAACTTTGCTGAGAATGTGGGGAGAATAAATAAGGTAGGTTTTACAGGGAGTTAGTTAACTTTAAGCATAGCTTGGGGGTAGGTTTTATATTGAACACAGCACAGTAAACTTTATTATGCAGCAATTACAGACTACTATTGTTATTATTTAATTTCCCTCTTCAAGCCCACCATTGAAAGAGACTCAGAATGCACAATGTACATAGTCAAGGGTCCAAAATTGTGCAGTAAAAGGAAGCCATCCAGTTTTATTGCAGCAATTCCAGATGGTTCCCCATGAACCTCCTCTTTGCTGTAGAAACTAGTCACATCTGGCTGTATCCATGTACTTTGTGAGACACCCTTCTTTTTCTTTTTTTTTTTTTCTTTTTTTTTTTTTTTTTTTTTTTGAGATGGGGTCTTACTCTGTCACCCAGGCTAGAGTGCAGTGGCTCGATCTTGGCTCACTGCAACCTTTGCCTCCCAGATTCAAGTGATTCTCCTGACTCAGCCTCTGAGTAGCTGGGATTGCAGGCATGCACCACCATGCCCAGCTAATTTTGTATTTTTTTAGTAGAGACACGGTTTCTCCATGTTGGTCGGGCTGGTCTCAAATTCCTGACCTTGTGATCTACCCACCTCAGCCTCCCAAGTGCTGGGATTACAGGCATGAGCCACTGCACCTGGCCAAGACACCCTTCTATTCATTTTTTTTTTTAAAGACAGTCTTGCTCTGTTGTCCAGGCTGGAGTACAATGGCACAATTGTAGCTCACTGTAGCCTTTAACCTGGGCTCAGGTAATCCTCCTGCCTCAGCCTCCTGAGTAGCTGGGAAT